ACCGTAGTCGGTCAAAAACCCCGCGTAGAAGCGCCTCATGTGAGCGATCTGGCTCTCGACCACGAGAGACAGACAATCCCGACTGGTGCTGGTATCATAACCAGTATGGTAAGTTTTCCAGAAATTGCAGGAAACCTTGCAATTATCCGACTTCAAAATCGACTGACACGAAAAACAGATCGGGAAACTTCCCAGCCGGCACGCGTTAACGGCAATCGTAGCTGGCGAACACAGCCGTCTGTTATACGTCACGGATGTGACTACGAAAGTTCGCTACCTTGTCGACACTGGCGCAGAAGTTAGCGTTCTTCCAGCAAATCCCGACGACAGACTTCGCGAGTCTGTTTTAAGTTTACAGGCGGCAAACGGAAAGCCGATCGCTACTCACGGTAAAAGGTACGTCTACCTTAACGTGGGTTTACGCAAACCCATACACTGGATTTTCGTGGTTGCAGATGTCTCTACGCCAATCATTGGTATAGACCTGTTACAACACCACAATCTACTCATCGACACACGCTCACGAAAGTTAATAGACGGAAACACTAAGTTATCTGTTAGCGTAACTCCTTGTTCTGGTTGCAGGTTATCCCCAGTCACGATTAAGCACACCATAGACCCCTTGTACCAATCAGTACTCGACAAATACCCCGTGATATACCAATCGCAATCGAAATTGCCTTGTGTAACCAGCAATGTTACACATCACATCACGACTACAGGACCACCTGTATTTTCGAAAGCCCGTCGACTCGCTCCCGAAAAGCTTAGGTTAGCTAAAAACGAATTCGACCACATGATGGACCTAGGGATAATTCGACCATCGAATAGTCCATGGGCATCTCCATTGCACATGGTCCCTAAAAAGGACAGCAATGATTGGCGGCCAACTGGTGATTATCGGCGTCTAAATGCTAAAACCATTCCCGATCGTTACCCGCTGCCTCATATTCACGATTTGACAGCTACCTTGAAAGGTACAACTGTCTTTTCGAAAATCGACTTGGTTAAAGCTTATAACCAAATCCCGATGGCACCTGACGACATTCCTAAAACCGCCATCATCACTCCTTTCGGTCTTTTCGAATTTCTACGAATGCCTTTTGGTTTAAGAAACGCGGCTCAAACCTTCCAAAGGTTTATAGACGACGTCTTCCGAGGTCTCAACTTCGTACATGCGTATGTTGATGACTGTCTAATAGCAAGTCCGGACAGAGAATCGCATCTCAAGCATCTGGACATTGTTTTCGATGGACTCCAAAGGCATGGCATTACTGTCAACATACAGAAATGCCAAATCAAAACAAACTCCTTAGACTTCCTAGGACACACCATTGATGCCCAAGGCATCCGACCCCTTAGGAGCAAAGTGGCGGCCATTCTGGATTATCCAGAACCGACCACGATCAAGCACTTACGAACTTTCAACGGCCTTGTAAGTTTCTACAGACGGTTCACACCTAAATGCGCGTCCCTTATGAAACCGTTAACCGATCAGCTTCGTGGAAATGCGAAATCAATTAGTTTAGATGACATAGCCCGTAAAGCATTTTCCACAGTTGAGGAACACATCGCTAAAGCAACCTTGCTTGCTCATCAGGACACTCAAGCGCCCATTAGTATCGCAGTAGACGCATCCGACTCAGCAATCGGAGCAGTCTTACAACAATGGGTTAACAACTCGTAGCAACCTTTAGGATTTTTCTCGAGACGGTTGCTAGACGTTGAATCTAGGTACAGCACGTTCGGTAGGGAACTCCTAGCTATGTATTGTGCTGTACGGCATTTTCAACATTCCATCGAAGGAAGAGAATTAACGCTTTTTACCGATCACAAACCTCTTACTTTCTCTTTAAATTCATCTTCAGACAAGTACTCACCGCGAGAGTCTCGACAACTCGACTACATTTCGCAGTTTACTTCAGACATACAACATATTTCTGGAGCTAACAATGTAGTCGCAGACGCCTTGTCTCGAATAAATTCCTTGAACAGTTTCCAAGGAATCGACCTTCTTAAACTCGCTCAGCTTCAAAAAGAAGGCACTGATCTTCAGCATGAGTTATCCTCGACAACTCTTAAACCAAGTATTAGGCAGATGGGAACAGGTAAGGAAACCTTACTCTGTGACACATCTACAGGTAGGGATCGTCCAATTGTACCAAAACACTATCGCCGCAACGTCTTCAATACGTTGCACAATCTTTCTCATCCAGGTGCTCGTGCAACAATCGAACTTATAGCCGAACGCTTTTGTTGGCCTGGCATGAATAAAGACGTGAGGGAGTGGGCACGCTCCTGTGTAAGCTGTCAGAAATCTAAGGTAATCAGACACAACAAATGTCCCTTAGGTTCTTTCAAAACCCCTGACGCTCGTTTCGACCACGTCCATCTAGATTTGGTAGGACCCTTACCCGACTCGAACGGATACTCATATCTCCTAACATGCGTAGACCGTTTTACTCGATGGCCAGAAGCAGTACCAATTAAGGACATTACTGCTGAAACCGTGTCCCGCGCTTTCATCGAACGATGGGTAGCAAATTTCGGCTGCCCTTCAACCATCACTACAGACCGCGGACGCCAGTTCGAATCTGGACTTTTCCGTTGTCTGACCACACTTTTAGGAATCACGCGCTTCCGAACGACCGCCTACCACCCACAAGAAAACGGGTTGGTAGAACGTTTTCATCGACAATTAAAAGCTTCATTATCAACTTCAAACGTTTCACAGTGGACAGACACTCTCCCACTCGTCTTGCTAGGTATCCGCAATGCAGTGAAAGCTGACATTGGATACACGGCATCTCAACTCGTTTACGGAACGACACTCCGACTCCCAGGAGAATTCGTGGATCCTTCAGCTTCTTCATTGAACATGGATCTAAACTCTTACACGAGTAGGCTTACAAACGCTATGCGTTCAGTTAAACCTGCTCACACTCGACCTCAATCAACTGATGTTTTCGTTCAACCCGAATTACGACATAGTACACACGTTTTCGTTCGTCGAGACTCACATCGACGACCCCTCGAATCAGCATACGAAGGACCCTTCAAAGTTCTTCAACGCGAACCTAAGTACTATGTAGTCGATAAGAACGGTACGAAAGATAGCATCAGTATCGATCGACTCAAAGCTGCGTACCTAGAAGGAAACCCTAGCTACGTCGATTTTCCTTCGGTACAAGCAAACGACACAGCTACTACACTCGTAATACCCTACACGACAACCGACACACAACTTGATTCTTCGTCAACGTCAATAGAAAAACCTAAAACAACGCGTTCTGGAAGACGAGTCAGATTTCCAAAACATCTTAACGAATATTGCACGTAGGACATAAGCTTTATCTTGAATTACCCTTCCATAGTTCATCATAAAAAAATTTTTAATATGATAATTTTTTATTTATATAAAAAAATCAAAAAAAAACAATTTTATCTTTTTTTGAGCGTATATATATATACTTTTTATATATAAAAAAAACCCAAAAACAAACCATTTTTTTCCAATCGCTGTTTGTAAGTGTATCAGTTTATTTTTTCCGCTCATCTTGTGTCCTTACGCAAGTACGAGTGTATTTTCGACATGCACTCACACCTTTTATTTTTCCTCTTTTCCAGGACGGCTGGAAAAGAACGACGAAGTTTCGCAATAAACCGAAATTTTCATTGTACTATATTTCTTTATTGCTATGTTGTACATTTTGGTCCCATAGTTTAAGGAAAGACGACCAGATGCTGCTAAACGAAGCAAGCTATCAGAAGAGTGTTTACCAACGACAAACTCGTTGGGTTTAAACTTCTGGCTGGTCACGTCTTAGGGGCATCACTACCTCACTAAGGGGGGAGTGATCTGTAGCTGTAAATAATTCCCCAAAATCAATAGTTCATTAAGTGTTCGACATTGGATGCTGACCACGTGTTTAAGTGGACTTGTTTAGCTGAAGGCTTTCGGTCATGCATCCGTACCAGATCACGTTTCGACTCGGCGTGGGACACAGCTCCTACGTTTCATTAGCCAGCTCATAGAAAAGGTCCTCGATATATTGGTAACGAATCAAATATATCTTTCCTGCCTCTTCTCGTCTGACTTCTGATTTCTATCTGACTGGGAACAATCGAATTTAGAAGGTGCTACTGGTATCTAGTTGTAAAACTAGAATATCCGTTGCCCTACTTTTCACGATGTAGATAAGTTTGCGACATCAGTAATACCAAAGTCAACATGAGTACAAAATAGTATGAAAGTACTAAGACAATTCTAATACCAACAGGTACAATTACTAATTATTGCGACATATAGACAGATTAAACGTGCGAAATTGGGGGATATATACTAATTACTTCTCCATCGATCAGAAGAAAACTCTTAAAAGCAATGCATACGTGTACAATCAAAGCTCTGTATCAGGTCTATGCGGGAATAAATTGTCAAACTCTTCTGTTTTGCTTTATGCTGGTGTCAGATTTGCATGGGTTTTATGATGAATATTATTCACAGGATAATTATTGAGGTTCATATCAGACAATTGTGAGTAGTTAGTAAAATCACGTTTAAAGGGCAACTCAGAGACTTTTTAGAGAGCAAAGATAACGCGAACATAGGTAATTTAGGATCTAAGTATCTAAATATACTAAGAGTATATCGAGAAGTCAAATTTTCTAATTCAACCTTACCGTAGATTGAGGGACCTAATTGACCGAGGAATCGTTTTGAACTAGATATATCCTTTATATCCGCTTCCTTAAGGTTGGGAGAACACAGGGGACACATCAAGTGACTTTATGTTTCAATAGTACACATGATCCTCATAACATAGTTATTTCCTAACAAGTAATTAGCTCTCGGAGCCTACTACGCGAAGTACAGTATGCACCGACTACTGAATCATCTAAGAAAGCTTGTACGCACGAGAATACCATCGAGGAACTTAGACAATTTCTAAGCATTCCGTCCGCAAAAGACGAATTCCAAACTCGATTTATTGGACAATGAATTTCCTGGCTAGGTCACGATTCGAAAGCGGACTCATTGACATCGTGCCAACCAGTACACTTGTTGACCACAATGCTCCTGGTATGTATGTTGATTTTCGACATTTTCACAGGAGCCATCCTTATATTCTATTAATAGTATACTCATCTTAGATAGTGAAGGGAAGCGCATTTTAGCGAAGGTAGTGCAGTATCCCAAACAAAATTTAATTTTGTAGTATTATGACTCATCGTTTCCATCTGTTAAGCTCCAACTGGAATTCGAGTCGAAACTATTCAAGAAAACAAGCAAAACTAACGGTGGTAAGTCCCGGTCGATTTTTTGTTAGTTATCTCTAAATTAAAGTCCTAATGAAACTGGCTTCGGATGTCCTATAAGCTGTCTTCTGAAATATAACTTGTACGCTCAGAATGGAATTAGAAAACATATTGTGATAAGTATTTGAAAATAAGCCTCATTTGAGTGGATGCGTGGTAGATTAATGTTCAATTGCTATTAACAACCGTCCACTCCGTTACTATTTCTTATTGATAGTGGTCCATCCCGTTTTACACCCTCGTAGATAAAAGTAAACAGAAATAATTTTAATTAGCCTTGCTAGTGGTCAAAACGACAAAGCTATTAGGAATAGTATCTACCGTCCATGCAGTTTTCTCTCATCCATTGTAAGTATAAAAGTTTAAGGTACCATTAGCAATCTTTGTAGTTTACTGTACTGCAGAGATCTATTCTCATTTTCGAAGTTCCAACATGGTTACCGATTTATCGTACTTTAGTAGGCGTGCCGGCAATGTAAAACTGTAGATAATGAGGATCTGGATATAAAGCAGTTGATTTCGGTTCTTGAACGTCTTTTGAGGTGGTCAGTCCAAGCCAAAAAGAATATTGAGGAAATCCTCTACAATTCCCAACATCCTAGCGTTTGTATATTGATATGAATTAAAGCTGTAATCAGTCACTTTCGAGATTCCCAAGAATCAGATAACTCAATTCCTGTTCGATATACTTGACTCTTACTTATCTAGTGATTCTTGTTACTGAGTACATTTTTATGTTTATGGAACGATGGGTTTTTATTTAAAAATTGCAATGCTCAGAAGTACTCGTTTAAATATCATTTTGGAGTTACCTAATTCTTAGTATATGAACTTAAAATGTTTCCAAGTTTATCACAGTCTCTTCTTATAGTTCTACGTTTCATTGCCGTTGCTTAATGTTAACGAAAAATATTTTGTTTTATTAGGATGAAGTTTCTTACTCCAAAGATTTTTCACATAAAATAAACCCCATTATGTTTTCTAGACTCCCTCCAATTGAATATCCACTTTTTCGTTTATACATTCATTTTTCTGTACTTAAAATAACATGGTCAGCTCTCTGGCCAGAACTTATGATACTAGTAGTTCAACAAAATTGCAGTTTGTTTTCAGGGTTACTATATACATGTATACATCATTTATCAACGTAGAGCTTAACATAGTTATGCACTGCTGCAAGTTGCCACACAACCTCAGTACACCAAATTGAGTTTGACAAGGTACATAGTGAAATAGACGGGAATAACGTAGTAGTAATTACAGTTTAAAAAAAATAAAGATAGGGCAGACAGAATAAAAAGGTATGCATTGAGATCTCGAAATGCAAGATTGAAAGATAAAAAATGAATGCGTCTGTGTCATGTTAAGCCGTGTTATCCACTCTATAGTTGTTACTTGCAATGAGCACATGGGCCCAAACCAGGTAGCCCGTATTTGCCAACATGACTCAAACCAAAAGACACTGATTTCACAGGATTTTTTCCAACGTATTGCTGAGTCAGGAAACATCGCCTGTCGAGGTAAGCTTTGACTAGGCATACATAACATATGTCCTATCTCTCTTTATATATTCGGGAGTACATTTGTGAACATGGAATAGTTAATTGAGCTACCTTTTCATTTAAAGTAAAATTGTCTGGTCCGTTATGCCAGTTTTTATAATTCAGGCAGTTTGAAAACGAAACTCATGGGTGTCATCATCCCGTTCTATGAGTTTAGCGCGAACCGCTGGGGATAATGTTGACTCGTCACTAAGGATTACACAGGACAATGCATGTCGTAACTACCCTTTTGCACTTTAACTAATAAAGCTCATTGACTACCTTTAACTTCAGGTTCAGACGTTTAAGCTTAAGAAATGCGTCTGCTCAATCGATGAAAAATTTTTTTATTAACCTCTATTGATAAAATTTTTATGGCAATACAAGGACATTGAAGTGATCATTTTGAAACTGGCTTATTATCTGTTAATCAATATAGAAAAACTTCTTATAATTACCAAAGTTTCCCGTTGTTTTAAGGATTTACTCCAATCATAATTGTTTGTACGTGTTATTTTCGCCAAATCAGTATAGTATTTGTTGCTCTTTCTATTTTCTAGCGGAAATCACGTTGCTGGACGGCGCGACATGTGTTTATCGTAACGTAGGCGATCTTTACTTTTATGTCGTTGGGGATGCTAACGAAAATGAAGTAAGTTACGTAATAAACCTTCCATTTTGTAAGTTATTACTCGTCAGTGCCCTTCAGTGCTTGTACGATTCTGTCAGCCAAGCTCTGAAACGATCAGTTGAAAAGAAAACACTGATGGATAATCTAGATTTAATTTTCCTTATAGTTGATGAACTGTGTCATAATGGGTAAATCGTGGAGTAAAATAATATCTTCTTTAAAGCATACTGTTAGAGTCCGACGCAACTGCGTTGGTGTCTCGAGTTGGTGCAAGGACAGATGATATCCCACTTGGAGAGCAAACCGTCGCACAGGTAATTTTAGCTCTTTTATGTCAGTATCCACGTTTGGCAGATCAGTCTGTTTACCATAAGTTCGTTGTGGATGTACCTTTGAGTGCGATTTCTTCTGTCACTACTTTTGCGTAACTTGGTCTCATATACTTATATGGAGTGAAATAAGTTTTAATATACAAAGACTGATGAGATATGATATGCTGTTAAACGCTAATGGCTGTTTATCTGTTAAACAACCTACAAAGTTTTATTGCAGTGAAGAGTCACCAATGTATTCACGGAACGTTTCTAGTTTGGTTTTCTACTCACTTATCTGTCAACTGTTACTGGTGCAGATTCACAACAAACGTTACTTCTTTCATAAGGAATGTATTGAATAAGTGTACCAGTTCTAGAGTTTAGAAATAATTGTTTGAGACACATTTCTACCGAAAAACTGCCATAACGTTTTCCTGTAACAAGCGCAAGTTTGTTCGCTGACTAGATCACAATCATTCATCATTAACGTGAAGCGTAGCACAGATGCGCGTTGAGCAAAGTTCCCATCTCACATTAGTACAAACTTGAACAACTGAAGTACAATCCCACCTTGCTGTGTTCATTTTATTGGATAGTTTTAGTCAACTTCCTTTAAAATCAAAATACATAAGATTTTTCTTTTCCACAACATACAGGCTATCCAAAATGCAAAAGAACAAATACGCATGTCTTTAATCAAATAGTTCAGTGAAATGGACATATATTATTCATTTTTATTGTTTTTTTGATGGGGCAATATGGGTTAGTAATTGAGTATCAGCTTTTGTATCTACTCCAACATTTGTCACATTACAGTTGTTGATATTTAACAAGTCTTCTCTCACATATCCTGACCGCTGCTGGTAAATATTTACAAGCTAACTATATCATCAAGCCTTATTTTGTTGTGTGTAATAGTAAATCTGGAGTTCGTGAAGTACATCTCAAATCATTTGGTAAACAATTCATGGTAAAGGATGAGCTCTACAATATGGGATGTCGCAAAATCAAAAGTTTTTAGCTGGGTATATCACTTAAGTCTTTTCAGTGCATATCCATTCTTCTTTTTTTTACTTTTCTCAATGCATGTTTGATGAGTAACCCCGCTGACGCTCAAGCACTATCCGGAGTAGTGTTGAGCCTTAGAACACCGTTAAAAGTATGTAAATAACCATAATCCCTACTATGTGTTGGGATTCGTCAGTGATTTAGTTCTCTACTGAAAGATGAAGTTAGAAACTCGAGCAACGAGTTTTTTTTTATATCCGAATAAAGTTAAACACACCCTTCTTGATATTTGACCACAGATGCCTTAGAAATATTGCTCGCATCTGCTGGGATAACCGGGTAAGTAATAGTGAGGTTAGACGCAGGGTATTAGGGAACGATGGTAAATCAATTGATGAGGTGATGAATCTTCATCGACTGAGATGGTTGGGCCATGTGTTACGTATGCCTGAACACCGATTACCACGACGCGCTATAATGACTAGTACTGGGGATTGTTGGAAGAGAGTTAGGGGTGGCCAAACCGAAACATGGCATCAGTGCTTGAAGTCACTAACTTCGAGTCTGAGCCATGTTGGCAGATACAGATTACCTGGTTGGGGTCTGCGTGACTATCGTAACCAGTGGTTGGAGACTCTAGGTGACATGGCTCAGAATCAATCACAATGGCGTAGGTGTATACACTCTTTATCTTCCCTTAAACCTTGAGACTAAAATTGCTTCATATCTCTCTTCCTTCCTGTACTATATCCTTATATACAACCTATAATTTATATACTACTACCACCAGTAAATTAATTACTTTTATGAATCCGGTGTTCATCTTGTTGTGCTAACGAGGTATGGCAACTTGGACCGATGCATAAATGTGCCTGGTCCTACGTTGTAGCTGACTGACTGTTGATATCCTACTCCAAAAAATTAAATCTTGAAATCCGAACTACAGGAAATTAAATTTTTTTTGCTTAGCTACAACTTTTCCCGGTTTGTGGTTACTCATCATTAATAGCCATTCTAAAGACTTGGTTTCACTATGGAAATATGTTAAAATGTGTTCACACAATGAAAGCTGAAGACGCACTTGCTAGTTAGTATAGAGTAATTTGAATGAAACAAGATTAGTGTATGCATCATTTGACTACGAAACGTCGAATTCGGCCGGTTATAACTTTTTTTCTAACGAAGCCTTTGTTGTCTATGTTACGCATATCAAAAGTGCTTACGCCTGTTCCCACTTGTGGGGGAACATAGGCTGCCCACCAGCACCCTCCATAGTATTTTGTCCTGGACAACCCTTTCCAGTTGCCATTCATTTTTTGACGTCTGTTTCCGATTTCCGACGTGATGTGTTCCTTAGTCTTTCTCTTTTCATTTTCCCTTCAGAATTCTAAGTTAGCGCTTGCTTCGTGATACAAGCGCGACAATTCATATAGGTGCATGTGATTTCCATGTCAAAAGTAATTGATCTTAAAACTTTAGCACTAGTGTAATGTACAAAATCCTATTGATTTATAAACAGGTTAAGTTACGTCGTGGATAATGAGTACACTTCAGAGGTGAAAGAAAAAGATCCATTTAGAATAAACATATTTACCAAGTTCACACACAAAAAACAACGAAATGACATTTTATTGTTGACTAGAGGTAACACGCAATAAATGGATATTCCTGAACGAGTTACCAGGTGTAGTTAAAACATCGGCTTTGAGGCCATATTTCTTGAACAAAACTGAGATGTCTGTAAAGGAACTGCTATACGTAAGCTTTCCTAAATGAGGTTACCTTCGATTTTCAAAAGAAAGAAGTAAAGATGCATTGTTGTTTACTCTTAGTTGTAAAGTTGCAGTCTTCAAAAACGGTTCATATACTAAAAATGAACCTAGTATGACGGACTTACCTTCCTTATCATACAAACAATCAGATGCTAAAATGATATCGAAGAACCCACCTGACCAATCGAGAGGATAATTCCAATCTAATGGAGTAAAATCATAATTTTTGATTCCATTCAGCTGAGCATTAAGATGTAGTGTATCCGAACATGTCAAATCTTTATCAGTGAATCGAACATGAAGAGCACCGAGAAGAGCTGCAGTAATTCCACAAAGTCCTGTGCCAGCACCAAGCTATAATATATCAGTGTTATTGAACAAAACCTAACTTCGAGAACTCGAAGCCCTCTGACTTTTTCAGGATACTTTACCAAAAAATCAGACAAGGCTTCTGCACACTTCCAGGTATAGTGACCATAACCCAAAAAAGAGTTCACTAAAATAAATTACGTTAATACGATCGTACCTGATGTACATATTTGTACCTTGATCCCTTGAAATTGAAATATCTGTCTGTTAGTATCGACCTATAATACAAGTAAATAGTATATGGCTTTTAGTTCGGTGAAGCAATTCCGTTCTTAAATACTTTGGTGGGTTACAGATGTGAGTATAATAGTTTTGTTGTTGTGTAGGCTGCTCTTTGCAAGGAAGGTTACAAAAACCAAAAGTGAATATTTTAGTTCCTACGACTTTATTACAAAAACGACGATAAATACAAAATATGTGCTCAAGCATATGATCATTATTTTTAATCAAATTAGTCATTTTTATCGTGATTGCCTGGAGCACTCGTTGATGTATTCTGTTCACTCATTGTCTTTGAAGTATTCTTCTTAGTTAAGATGCGGTTTACTAGATGTGTAAGCAATGAGTCGCCTGCATTCATTTTAAGGGTAACGTTGAAAACAGTCGTCGTAGCCTTATGAACGGATCCAAACACAACAGCAACAACTGAACAAACCAAACACAAGACATTAAATGGCATACTAAAATCTGGTGTTGGCATTGTGACCAGAGATACGGGAGTGTGTAGACGAACAAAACGATCCTGTGGCGCAGAATGAGTTGTATTGCTAGTAGGAAGAAGCAAACAGTGATATGTTTTAAAAGATAATTTTAACATGTAATAAGTCACTGGCATACTTGTATGTCACTCCCGAATGGGTGTCCGGTCTGGGTTAGTCTAACTTCTGTATTACAAGGTCCTATCACTCACTTCATTCGCCCTCTTCCTGTTATAAAACTTGGTAATGCATCTCCCACATCTTAATCCTTATGATTATTTCAAACAGCCTAGTGTTTTGTAATTAGGTGCAGTTTCAGTTTGGAAAAGACAGGAGGCTCGGTGGCCTGTGTTAGTCCTGGCAATGATGGTTTCTCAGCTGATCCAACTTTCTTTTGAAGGAGTCGACGGATGGAGCCTCAACCACGTGCTGAGGTAATGAAACTGAAACTGTTAGTGGTTCAATCGTATAGCAGATAATAATACAATCAGTTATTTTTCATGAATTAGTTATTAACATAGGTCTCTCATAACGAAAATGAGATCGAGGGTAGTGTCCCTGAATAAACTTACGGCTAGAAGTAGATGGTGAAGTACAACTTCCACAAAAGCGAGTAAAACAGCCTGGCTTTTTAAGACGAGTCATCAAGACTAAATTCAGAGCTTTACATAACAATCTTAAGCCCCCCTTTTTGTCATATACGCAATGGCTTTGAGATATCAGTAATATTTCGAATAAAACTATGCCGTAGTTCCTCCGTTGTAGAATTGTTCACTGGGTCCAACAAACTTTTATTTACTTGAAGTCGTGTGCAAACGTTTAGTAATTTCTGCCTCTAAAAATGTCATTTTCGAATAACTTTAAAGTCATCCAAAACTTTCTGGATAAATATTTGGAATAAGGCCTTTTAACCATTTCGAACTAGGAGACTAAACCAAAACGATAATGGTGTTGTCTGATATAATGATAGAATATCATATTAGTAGTATTCGCTATACGATTATCTTTAATCTACAGCTGATTGAAGTAAGTGTTATTTATACAATTCTATTTTCGGATGAAAACAGTTTTTACTTCAAATGGTTAGATTCACTAAAGATCCTATAATTACCTACTTTTTTCATGGTGGTGAAACGCGGAACTTTTAATCAACACTAGGTGTTTTATTAGGCTTCAAACAAGGAGTAAAATTAACAGTTTTAACGTCCATAAGTCATAGAAATTCATAAGTAATCCGATTACTTCCATGGATTATATCAAGAGAAGTTTGCGATCAGTATAAAACTGATCACTGAAAATCGGATGCAAACGTATTCATTTACAGACTGATCTAATTTCGTAGATACTTTAATATATGAGTATGGAGAATTTTAGCTTCACTAAAATGAACACTTCTAATTAACATTTATCGTAACATGTAATAGGTTACTGATGATAATTTTGGACTTGTTCCATAAAAGTAAATTAGTTCCACGATCTAGTGTTCGCTTTTTTAGTCATAAAATTGGTAGGAAATAGATTTTATCTAGTTGAACACACTGAAAATAAAAACGGAATGAATTATCTTGGGATATTAAAAGCACAAGATAGGGCAAGGGACTTACAAAAACTGACTGTAACTACTGGCCCAATTCGGAAGATTTAGATTGTGGAACGCTGCATGTTTTGTTTTGTTTAAGTAGTCTATTTGTTCACTATTTAAAACGTACGAAACAGTTGCTGCAGGAAGGAAAAAGCCGTGATTGGCGTCCGGAGGATACTCATTCCAGCGTTGTAAAACTTTCCGAAACTCATAAGTAATGATTAGCTGATTAAGAGCAGGCAAGGTGATTACTAATTCAACACTGCCCATACGTTTCCTAGCCAAACTTGGTTTAACTGCCAACCATCCTATCAAAGTAAATACACGCATTTCATTCTAAATAAAATACCAAAATGACTTAAGAAAGACTGATGGATAAATATGAATATTAACAGAGAATAGAAAACTGCATACAACTATAAATCACATTTGATCTAGTACAATGAAAGATGAAATAACTTAAGTGTTACCAAAAAACGTTCATAGAATGCAAGAAATGAAAAACAGTGGCACGAAAAGTTCCGATTGTTAAATTATGCTTGTGACTGAGTTACCATATAGACACATAAACCTTAGTAAAAAGAAGCCCGAAATACATGTGCGCCAGACAATAGCAATTCGGTTGCGAAGTGAGTATAATAAAAAGAGCAACAATGTAGAGAAATTAGTGTGTGAGAGGGAGGTTATAACAAATATATTAACAATAGTAGGAGAAGCAGTTAAGTTAAGAATTCCTTCAGCTAAAGAATTTACTATCAATTTTATGGAGTAAAATAAAGTTACGACAGGACCGCCATTGGCTCTAACTTTGAGTCATCCAGATAACGTCTGAAGCTAGTGTTGCATCATCTCTAGGACACCGATCAGGGAGTCGTGACCGTCTAACAGAAGTCAATCTTGTACAGCTTTCTTTTATACCATTTCACACACTGACTACCTCTCCGTTTTTCTCAACCAGTCCCAGCGTCAGAAAATAATGCGAGACGTGGAATTCTCTGGGAAGATATTCGTAGGTTATGTCCAAGCCACCGAAGTAGATGTTTCAATTGAACTGTCGTCGCTGCGCCCGAATACACGATGCCAAACCTCTGCATTACCGACATGGTGTTACCATTGGATGTCAACATTTCTTCTCAGACAATAATGATCAAACACAGAGAGCCGTCTAACATCCTCAACTCGGAAAGGTCAGGTTTCACAAACATAGAGCAAAACTGCTCTCACCAACGTGTTGTAGATCCAACCTTTTACAGCCAGACTAACATCACGAAGGTTCCAAAGATGGCCCAGATTGGCATAAGCCGATCGGGCTTTAACTATATGTTATAACAGTCCGTTTTCCATGTATACACGAATGGGACGTTAATTTACCTTAGACGAATATCTACAATAGATTCCCTCCAGTGTCTACTGCAACACAACCCAGATCAAAAACACGTGATTAGCCTGACAAGAACGTAAATATATTTCTACACCAAAACCCGATACAATCCAACAATAATGAACAATCAACCAATAGTAATAAATTTTAAGGAAAGGAGAATATATAACTTATCTGAAACCTGTCAAACTTTCTGCATGTCTGACTAAGTAGACAACCAATTATTCTCGCCCACATCTCATCACTCACTACCGAGGGTGAGTGTAGGATCTGAGTCCTGCCAGTCTTGCAAAATTACTTTGCACTTCGAAAGTGCAAAGCACATACCATAGCTACGAACACTGACTGTCAACTGATCAAGTGGGGATTACATGGTTTGGGTATCATTGCACAATAATACAATATCACCTGCATACTCAAGGTCGGGGAGTTTTTTTCCAGGCAACAGACTCACGCCGCCATTACTTAAATCCATCAGAGTTGTTTCCAGAATGTCATTGATAACAAAGTTGAAGAGAAATGGTGAGACTGGCAAACCCTGTCTAACCCCATTGCTTGAATGGAACAGTGGAGAGAGGTGGTTGTATGCCCTTACTCTATCTGAAGTGTTTGTATATAGGACTTTTAGGATGTTAATAAACTTCTCAGGAACACCCTTCTTCAACAGACGATCACAGAGAACAGTTCTATCCAGCGAGTCCCGAATTTTGAACAATCTACGAAGTATGACGGAAGCCAATAGTTTGGACTCAATCGGAAGTACACAGTTGTTGCATAAACAATGTGAACCACATTTTAAGATAAGGGGAACTATCATTACATTCCTACCTGGGAAGCATCGTTGATAAACAAGGAGGATCGGATGCAGATGTAAAGGCGAGGATCGGCAAAGCAAGGGCAGCATTTCTACAATTGAAGAACATATGGAACTCAAAACAACTCTCAACTAACTTCAAAGTGAGAATCTCCAATACGAATGTCAAGACAGTCCTACTATACGGAGCTGAAACGTGGAGAACTACTACGACCATCATCAGGAAGGTACAAGTATTTATAAATAGTTGTCTACGCAAAATACTCAACATTCACTGGCCGGATACTATCAGCAACAGCGTTTTATGGGAGAGGACAAACCAGCTTCCAGCTGAAGAGGAAATTAGGAAAAGACGTTAGAAGTGGATAGGGCATACATTAAGCAAATCACCAATGTGCATTACAAAGCCATCCCTAACTTGGAATCCGGAAGGGAAGCGAAAAAGAGGAAGGCCAAAGAACACATTACGCCGGGAAATAGAAGCAGATATGAATAGGATGAATAGCAACTAGAAAGAACTGGAAAGGAAGGCTCAGGACACAGTTGGATGGAGAATGCTGTTGAGCGGCTTATGCTCCTCGACGAGGGGTAACAGGCGTAAGGAAGTAAGTAGTAATTACGTTCCACGATGTTGAGACACTCTCTAATTGCCAGACACATGTAAACAACTCATTGATTTCTCTAACCGCATAGTCGCTACTGTCATCAAAAAGTTATCTGGACCTGGTGATTTGTGGAGCTTCAGGATTTGAAGTTCCCTGAGAATTTCCATCTCGTCAAAGTGTTCAGTCGCCATCGGTCATGGAGGGTAGGACAGTCTGATCGATGTCGTCGGGGCAACAGACCAGTTGAACTGCTGCTTGAAAAACTCTGCCAGTCATCCGAGACATCGTAGATGGTATGGACTGGCATCCCATTAGCTTTACAGATTGTTTCACTTACACCAGACTCCTTACTGCTAGTGACTTGAATGAACTGGAAGAGCTTCCGGTAGTTACCAGTCCTCAAGGTGGATCCTCTATACCCACCAACCCGGTCAAAGCACTGGACATTCACGTTTCGTTCTCTCAATTTCGCAAACAATATCTTCACCGCGAGAAGGCACTGAGTAGGACTTTTTTGAGTGGCTGTATACGCAAGGCCTTGTGAGGGCATTTCGAGAGGGAGAACGAACTCTCCTCACCCTCGGCCATAACAGGGCATTTGGAGGCAAACGACAACGAAGTATTATCAAAAGTTTCACTTCTTTGATAAGAACTGGTCATTTAAGGTATGCACTTTGTATTTATTCTGAAATAAGGAATGACAAACCTCCAATTGGAAATAGTTGTTATTCATAGTTCTCGAAGAATTATAGCACTAAAAAACGTCGATCACCTAAGTTCGTGGAAAATAATTTATGACACGAAGACAGAGAACAGAGCTTCCTTAGAAAATATTATGTGATCATTTTGTTGTATGAGTGCATTTTGTAAGGGGATTTCTAACCCGTTCTTGACAATATTATGAAAGCATAAGGCTTTACAAAACAGATGAAACATGACACTGATAATAGCAGTAACTTGACTGAACATAAAAAAACATTAAAAACGTACAGATGACAATGATCTTCACCAAGTTCTCATTAGTAAGAATTAATTCGATTTTGGACAAGTTTATTAAAAAAATTTCATATCGACTTACTTGGGGTAATCATTGTCTTGTTTTGCGTTTTGGGATCTAAACTGTAGATTTTTAAGGAACTGAAAAAGACTTGTGTGTACCACGGAATTAGATCAAAATAAACTATCTCTAGATTGAAATTAGCTCTACTAGTAAGGAAAGCTTTGACTCCACCCCTTACACTTCCAGAGCCGGTGATATGTTTGGTAGCAGAAACAATAGGTGAATGCTGTGAAGACTCTTTTCCATCAGTTTTGAAAGGAAAAGATGTAAATGATGCAGAGAGATCTTTTGTCGAATATGTAGCTAGAACACGATTATCTGAACAGTCGACATTCAGTTTATTGTCTAAAGGGAGATTCATATCCTCATATGAAGTAAGGATAAACACACGACTAGAGTTTGCCACATCGCAAAATCCTTTGAACTCCGAACCAAGGATACTTCTGATAGACCAAGGAGCTGAGAAAATAGATACCCAAATTAAATAATAATAAACACTACAAGATTTGGTCAAATAAAGTTCATATTACATAAGGTTTTATAACGTCAACTAACTAACAAGTTGATAGTTTCTTATTGGTAATCCCGACTGCAGCATCTACCTTGACGTGGTAGTCGGGCTTGCCTATCGTGACGACCCGACCGAGCTATATTGACTGGAAATTATGTCCCTGTAGGATCTACCATGCCAGGCAGGTCGCTTGGAGAACGGTAGGACTAAAAGCAGCAATTCAAGGTCTGAGGGGTGTGACAACAGTGAGGTGTTTCCCTCGGACAACCAGCATTTGCAGCGATGCTGCCTTTTCATAAGGAAGGAAGGGGTTAGAAAAGGTCGACCCTGAAAGTGTCACGCCTAACCTTATTTCACGAACTGCCGTCTCCGGAGATAAGGCCCTTTGAAGAACGGAGCTAACACGTCAGAAACCTCCCACAAAAAGTCCGTGCGCGACCGGCCTCAAGAAGTCGTTCCTTGGGCTCTGCGGTCACTGTCCCAGGTCGTTAAGAACAACATTAATCCAACTTCATTTTCAGATCCCTCAAGAAATACCCTTTCATGGTGTGGGCAGCCGGGAAGTGATGTCAGTCCTCATACTCGTGACAGCACACGAGACCAAGTTGGTCGCAATCAAATCCATCCTACACTTTATTACTCTCTTGTCTCCACAACTAACCCTTCTCACGTCCCTTTATCACCTTTCACCGCTAGGGCAAACGATTTGAGTACGTGGAACGTTATTCCTGGTGTCCTGAAACCACACTCTAAACTACATGTAGGAGCTCTTAACGTTCGAACACTGTGCCAAATAGGATAACAGGCTTCCTTAGGTAAGACTTTACAATCTCGCGCAATCGATGTGTGCTGCATCTCCAAAACACACATACAGGATCCAAGTAGCAACATTCATTAGAGCTCACCATGTCAAAATAAAGAATCAACTCGATACACGCTTCGTGTATCTGGTAGCCCTGATGCTGCTTCCCGTGGCCTCGCTGGCGTATGTATAGCATTGAGTCGTAAGGCAAAACTAGCTCTTTTAGACTGGATCCCAGTAGACAGTCGTCTGTACACTGTCCGACTAAACGGGACAGTAAAGACTCGGAAAGATAGGGACACTCGTCGTTGCCTCTTCCTCGTCTCTGCCTAATCTCCTACTGACTGCAGCTCAGATGATGTGAAAGATGAGTTTGACAGAAAGCTGTGGAAACAGCAGTGATATATGCTAGTACGGTAAACCATAAGGTTAGGGAGAAAAACTGGATCTCAACAGCATCGACCGCACTGATAGATGCTCATCCCATCTGGCTCTGAACATAACAAGAGGAGTGAACTTAAGCGCAAGCTAACAAGAAACCTACGCAACGATCGCGAACAGTGGTGGGTAGTGAAAGCAAGAGAGATGTAAAAGGCAGCAGCAATAGGTAACATTAGACAACTGTTCAGACTTGTTAAGGAAACCGTTATTAGGAACTCAACTGTCAGCGAAGCTATCTCAGGAAAAGATGGACATATTATTCATCCTTAATCCAGGAGATTGGGTCGATAGGCAGAACACTTTAGGGATTAGTTCAACTGGCCTTCAGCCACACTTCAATTTCCCAAGTCGTTCTGAATGACAAGTTAATGTAAGTCCTTCAACTCTTTGAGGTTGAAAAAGCTATAGGAAATCTGAAGCGTAGGAGAGCAACAGACCCTGACAGGTTTACTTCTGAGATTTTTCAGGATGGCGGTCCAGTACTAGCAGCGAAATCAACTGATGTCTTAGGTATTACTGTTGTTTACGAAAGTGAGAGGACGAAAAGGGACTGCATCTCCTCACGATGCTCCACTGCCTTGTGGATCAGACCTTTAGGTCAAAGGCTCCGGGTGTGGCCCCCTAAGAAAACCACCTGCTTCGGTTTGGGCACCCGGGCAGTATCACAGCCCACACACAAATGAATGAAATGACGAACTCTAATGACGATTCTATTCCTGCTCATATTATAAGCAAGACAATTAACATTATTATTATTACCTTTATTATTATTATTATTATTACTTATCATATCGCTAATTCACCCCCTTTTACCCCCAATTTGTGTAACCTTACTCTTCAACTTATGCAGCAGCTCGCTCTTGGTGGAAAATCTGTCCTATCTAAACGATCTCCAGTCACTGTCTGGTTGAAAGTGAATGCTTCCACCGATAATGAATACTGAGGCAGTCTTTCTGAAACCACGTACGCCGTTCAAGCTGGCTTCCTTCAACGTTCGCACACTAATGCAGATCAGACAACAGATAGGGCTGGCTATGTCTTTGGAAGGTCTTAATGTTGATGTTTGCTGTCTATCCGAGACCCGTATTCAAGACTCTAGTGAAGTACTACAAATCCGCTCTCCATCTGTCTCCTCGAAAAGCTTGTTCCACGTGCGCTTATCCGGGGACCCTGTGGCATCTTCGTCTGGTCTTGCTGGCGTTGGTGTCGCACTAAGCGCTAGGGCTGAGGCAGCACTAATCGATTGGATCCCCATTAACAGTCGGTTATGTGCTGTTAGATTAGAAAGTTCCATCAAAGTGAGAAGAAACCGGCGTGAGAAACGGTGTCTTTTCGTCATCTCCGCCTATGCCCCGACAGATTGCAGCCCGGATGCAATCAAGGATGAGTTTTACCATCAGTTAACAGTTCTTCTCCAGAAAGCGCGTTCGACAGATATTGTAGTACTAGCCGGAGACTTGAATGCACAGGTCGGGCGTCTAGGCACAGAAGAGAGTCGTCTAGGTGGCCGATGGGGACTTGTTGGTCGCAGGACAGATAACGGGGACCGTTTGCTGCAACTGTGCACAGACCACAACCTGTTTCTGGCCAGCACTAACTTCCGGCACAGTCATCGCCGGTGTGCCACCTGGCGTCCTCCCTCTGCATCCCAAGCCTGGACTCAGATTGATCACATCGCGATCAGCTACCGCTGGCGTGGTTGTGTACAAGACTGCCGCTCCTTTTGGAGTACCTATCTGGAGTCTGATCATGCCCTGGTCTGCGCCAATCTCACCTTACTTTTCAGTGGCCGAAGGATTGACCACCACCAACGGATTGATATTAGTAAACTGGCTGCAACTCCTGTTGCAAGTAAGTACCGAGCGGAGCTAGCCTCTAGGCTAGCTAACACCCCACCGAAAAGTATAGATGAGCATTGGTTGCATCTTCACGACGCCATGAAAATGGCGAGTAAAGCCGCTTGCGGCTTCGCGAAACGTCCCGCTTACAAGCACTGGGTTTCTTCTGGCTCCTTACAACTGATGGAAGCCCGTCGGTCTACTCCGGGTGACCGTGAGTTTGACCACAAACGAAGGCTGTTACGTAATGAAATTGGGCAAAGCTTGCGTAAGGACCGGGAAGCCTGGTGGTCGGAGCGTGCTAATGAGATGGAAGCAGCAGCTGCATCTGGTAACTGCCGGAAGCTCTTCCAACTCATCCGAGCCACTGGCAGCAAGAAGTCTGGTGTGAGTGAAACAATCTACGAGGATGATGGGATGCCAATCACTAACATCTCCCGACGTCTTGGACGATGGGCGGAATTTTTCGAAGGGCAGTTCAACTGGCCTGCTGCTCCGGCAACATCAACCAGCTTGTCCTGCCCCCCATGGCCGGTGACGACTGATCCACCAAACGAGGCGAAAGTCCGCAAGGAACTCCAACTCTTGAAGCGCTACAAATCACCTGGCCCAGATGACTTACCTCCGGCTCTTTTTAAAGATGGTGGCGACTTTCTGACTAAGGAATTGACTGTGTTGTTTGGAAAGGTTTGGGAGCAAGAAAGTGTTCCAACATTATGGAATGAGTCAATAGTCGTCCCTATCTTTAAAAAGGGTTCGCGTTGTTCCTGCAATAACTATCGGGGGATAAGTCTACTTCCGATTGCGTCCAAACTATTGGCTTCTATCATTCTTCGTAGGTTGTTTAAAACCCGAGAACGATTGACTCGCGAGGAGCAGGCTGGTTTTCGTTCTGGTCGAGGATGCATTGATCACATCTTCACCCTCCGCCAAATGTTAGAACACCGTCATGCTTATCGCAGGCCAACAATCGTAGTGTTTCTTGATATCAGGGCTGCCTTCGATTCGTTGGACAGGACTGTTCTCTGGGATTGTCTATTGAAGAAGGGTGTGCCTGAGAAGTTCATTAACATCTTAAAGGCCCTGTACACGAACACCTCAGGCAGAGTGAGGGCATACAACCACCTTTCTCCCTTGTTCCATTCGAGCAGTGGGGTTAGGCAGGGTTGCCCGATCTCACCATTCCTCTTCAACTTTGCCATCGACGACATCTTGGAAACAGCTCTGATGGATGTAAGTAATGGCGATGTGGATATGTTGCCTGGAGAACGACTTCTCGACCTTGAGTATGCGGATGATATTGTCTTACTGTGCGATAATGCCCAAGGCATGCAATCAGCACTTAATCAGTTGGCAATCAGTGTCCGCAGGTACGGCATGTGCTTTGCACCCTCCAAGTGCAAAGTACTTCTACAAGACTGGCAGGATTCTAATCCTGTACTCACCCTGGATGGTGAGCAGATCGAAGTAGTTGAGAAGTTCGTATATCTAGGTAGCTATATAAGTGCTGGTGGTGGCGTGAGTGATGAGGTTGATGCACGTATAAGGAAAGCCAGATCGGCTTATGCCAATCTGGGCCATCTTTGGCGCCTTCGTGATGTTAGTCTGGCTGTAAAAAGTCGGATCTACAACGCGTCGGTGAGAGCAGTTTTGCTCTATCCTTGTGAAACCTGGCCTCTCCGAGTTGAGGATGTTAGACGTCTCTCTGTGTTCGATCATCGTTGTCTCCGAAGGATTGCTGACATCCAGTGGCAACACCATGTTAGTAATGCAGAGGTTCGGCATCGTGTGTTCGGGCACAGAGACGATAATTCAATTGGTGTCACCATCTTGAAACACCGACTTCGGTGGCTTGGACATGTTTTACGAATGTCGTCCCAGAGACTTCCACGTCGTGCATTATTTGCCGACCCTGGGACTGGTTGGAAAAAGCGGAGAGGAGGTCAGTGTATGACATGGTGTCGTGGCATGAAAGAGAGCTGCAAAGGGCTAGCTTCTGTTGGTCCTTCACGACTCCTTGGTTGGGGTCCGAGAGATGGTGCAACACAGTGGCTAGAGACGTTATCAGATATGGCTCAGAATATAAACCAGTGGCGATCCTGCTGCAACCTTCTTTTACTTTCTACATAAAGTATGGTTCTTACTTTCCTATTTGAAAGAGTCTTCTGGTTGTACATTTTAGTCCGCCTTATCTTTTCATCCCTTCTCTTCCTACTTTCATTATTTTGTGTGGCGCATATGTACCTGGTGCCCTTTTGTACCAATATATATGTGTTTAAATAAATAAATAAATAAATAAATTCCTAACAAACTAATTTTGGACTACTAGCTACTAGACTGAAATAATATATTACATCAACAAACCATGTGATTTAGGCTATTTATTTTATGTTATTCTTCTGTTTATGTCTCTTAAGTGTGAACCAAGTAATACATAAATTTGTACTTACCAAAAGATTATAGAAAGTAAATAATATGATTTAAATATTTCTGAATGATAGTTACAGAATATAAAAGGAATGTTTATTGATGTTAATAAAATTCAAATAAGATGAACAGATCGAGATATTATCTAAAAAGTTAAGTGTAATCCATAATTAAAGCAATATGAATGAGTTGATCTCATTAGTCGAGTCACATGCCGAATAAATAAAATAGATGCAAGCAATACGGTAAAAAGAAGCCAAGCAAAATTAGAGGTGCAAAATGAAAGACGCTGTGGATAGTTATTAGGAAGGGACTTTACGGAGGGCTGTAGGGTAGTAAGATAAAAAGATTAATCCTAACTCGAAATCAGAATTTACAAATTTTTAATCTATAATAAGGCAGTAACCTATAGGTAGTAAAACATACGTGAAAGGCCTTGCTGTACATAAAAACATGCATTACTTTTACTCAGTGAGATACCTTGTTAGATAGAGGACACTTCCGAAATGAGTAAAATATTTCGGTCATTTCATTTGAAAAAGTCTGTAAACCGTAAGGTATTATAGATAATGGATAGCTACATACGAAGTAAAACTGTAGGAGGTGGTATACCACTAGTTAACAAATACAGTGTAGTAAGTTTAAATTTTACTCACACGTTCTTTTTGCAAACAACAAACTTCTGTCAAAGACAACCGTTAGTGTTTCCATTATCTCTAGCCCGATTGTGTGACATTTTAAATCCTAAATAGTAATGATACATTATAAATAAGGCTTACCAAACACACTCGTCTAATTCCAATGGTCATGGTGTTGTAATTTGATTTAAACAGTGAAGTTGGACGCAACAAGCTTCCCAAACCGAAAAACGATTTACATGGTAAGTACTTAGTCCATGGAGTCAAATTCTCACTGCACAGAGCCTCACCAGGTAGCTGAGAATATCTGACTTCCCCAGAAACTTTACTGAATCTCGGTACTCCGAATCGCTTGTACGAGTGAATCGGAGAGGCAAAATGTTCACTTGTAGATAGTCGGTTTAAAGAAGCACAGAATAATCCCGAAAGGGCATGTGTTAATTTAAACCATGATTGATCAACACTAAAGATGAGCTAAGTATAAGGATTACCTGATAGTTTGATTTCCAAACCACGCCCATAGTTCAGCTCCAGAAGGGGAAACTGAAACAAAGTTACTACCCCAACGTTCATCCCATATTCCTCTTGAGATAGAAAGGTGAAACTCATCAACATTATATTTTTCAAAGATTTGGATGATAGATTTCGGAAGAATGTTATAGTGCTTTGCTAAATCGAAATTTATCAAAATATTGGTGGAACTTACATTGGAAAACAGATTCTGAAGTTGTAGCAGCGAAATTAAAATGGAATGCTGTATATCCATGACCAAGATCTTTGATGAGAAGCTCTTCATCAAAATTTTCGCAGTAAGCCGAAGCGGAAAATATTAGGAATGCAATCAAATGAAAACCAGTCATGGGATTTTTTTTCATGCATCAATAAGATCACAAAAAATAACACTAAAACGTAATAAGATATTTCGAGACTCCTTGGAAATCCGTGTAACTAAAATTACGAGAACTGTCTGGGAACAGATAAAAAGTTAATTCAGAACTTCGTATTACAGCTAAAAACTTTATCACATTTCTAAAGACGTCAATAGAACAAGTTATGTAAAAAAGGAGAAACTTTTTAAAGAATATTTTTTTATACAATTAATTGGCAAGACTATAATATTTGGACGAACAGATCACATTTAGGATAACAGGTCTTAAATTTCCGCGCGAGATATTTTATCTATTTTGATTATCAGCGTCTTGGTATTTTAGCTCATGTCAGTTCGTGATGAAAACCCTAAATGTAATCCCTATCCCTAAAAATCAACTGCAAATCACAATCCTTGTCCTTTACACAGGATTAAAACCCTCATTTAGCCGTAGTCAGTAGATGAACATTTTCAAGGCCACTTTAGTGTTGCTCAAAGATCGTCCATAAAATATGGTCCCAAAGCAGGCATCACATATTTGCCGTGGCATCGTGCATGGTGTTGAGAAAGGTGTTTTTATACGAGTTGGAAATAAGGGAAAGGGCGCATCTGGTAAAGTCGCGCATACATCTGTATGATTCAAATTAACATAGATACAAGTTACCAGGATAAGCAGCAGAAGATAGGTTAGTTTACACCAATTTTACGGTGTGCATAAGGCTGTTCTTGGTTTTACTGTTCCTGAACAGTGTCTGAGGACACTAGAGTGCCGTAGCAACAATTTCAGAAACCACAAAAATTGTTAAAAATGAAGACAATAGTTTCTAACTTATACAGTAAACAGTTTTTATAGACAGGAACCAGTCAAAAATACTCACTTTACACGATCTTATATAATATGTGGCTTGTAAGGACCGACAGCACTACCGACCTCGATGTACCCCTATGATTTGAATATCGTACCTACCTACAGTCCTCACTCTTCAGTAATGAGGATAGGAAATCTATTGACCTATTTTAATCATTTCAATTTGTTACACTGTGGAAGTCCAATCTCGTTTTGAATATATCAACAGTAAGTGTTGATATTACGTGTTTTTTTAAGAAGGACAGTGGTATTTTTCCTCGTTGAGTAAATTCTATTGTTTTGATCGTTATTAACGTATCAAGACTACTGTTTTTACACTTTGATTGAATTTCTATCAGTTAAAGTATTCTATTAGAGTATCATCTTTGATATCCTAAATAGTTTTATCATCGGTACTCCATAGTACCTTTGTTTTTCTATTGTGTCTGTTAGTACTTTGGTCCTAACTATTTATAGTTTTCTTTTCTACTTGTAGTCAACACTCACCTTCGCATCCTATAATGACTAGAAGATGCAACAAAAGCATTTGCCACCGCCCAGGATGTCGATATCCTGTTGATAGCGGCATGCAGTGCGATGAGTGCAAAGGTTGATACCACGATGTTTGCACGAATCTAACACCTGCAGCTTTCAAGCGGTTCAGTAAAAATGGGTGTGTATGGATATGTCAACAGTGCTGTTTGGATGCAAATAGCCTGTTAACCGAGGCCATTTCAATAGTAAATGCCGCAAAAAGTGTCTCGGCAAGCGCGGTCGGGATACATCAGTCAGAACTCAATCTGTGGACACGCAGATTGACACAAGGCAGGCCCAAGTGAGTCCAAAAACTGCCGACCAACACTCTACTAAGGAGGAAGAACATCCTCCAAAGAGGACTGTTACAACCAGAAACTCGCGCAAAAAAGTCTCTTCTGTCCCTCGTATCAAAAATGGCACCCAGAAGGGAACTTCTGGAAGCCGAAACCGCAAGGCTCGATCGGTTTCCAGCGCGAAAGATGACCCAATCTCCCAAGTCGTCCTGACTCTTCCGGAATCCCACAGTACGCCTGACGCGAATGTGGTTACCACTCCAAAGAACGTTGGCGATTGGGTACGGGTCGTAAGAAAAAAACGCCAAAATGACGTAAAAGGAAATCATACCCCCACCAAAAGGGTCGACAAGCCGAGGTCTGATCACAGCGACAGATCAGTCATTCTCCATAGAGTCAAGGAGGGTGACAACTTAGAACCGAAAGCTCGCTTTGAGCATGACATTGTGTTGATAAAACAACTACTCAACCAAGTTATGCCCAAAAACATCCCCGGAGTCACCTTGCTAAAGGTGTATAGACTACGAAATCTAGCGCATCTGAAACCAAATCAGTCTAGACTACTAAAAGTCGTTTTCAAATCCTCAAACGAACGCGACTTAATCTTAGAAAATGGACACAAATTAAAGGGTTCAGGAGTTTTTCTCCGTAAGGACTTACCGTTGGCGGACCGTGTTAAAAGACGGGAAGCCGAAAAGGAACTACAGCTCAGATTAGACGCTGGCGAAAAAGACCTGAAAATTGTAAATTTTCGGGTTGTGAGGCTTCGACAGAGGATGATGCCGAAGCCACTCTGGGTGAAGCACGAGGCCACCTAAATAGGCTTCGGGTCTGTTATACCAACGCCCGGAGCTTACTAAATAAGCTACCGGAACTAGGTGTACAGATTGACTCAACTAGGCCAGACATAATCGCAGTCACAGAAACATGGCTGACGCCGTCTATAGATAGTAGGGAACTTGATTTCGAGGGTTTTACATTGGTAAGGGCCGATAGAATACAAACGCGTAAAGTAGGGGGAGTAGCTCTATTCATTAGGAATGCTATTCCATTCACCATTATCGACAGTGTATCCCATGAGAGTGGGACGTACGAATTAGTTTGCTGCCGCCTGAAATGCAGGGGACAAGAGTTGCTGCTTAGTTTGATCTATCGCAGCGAGGTAAACGAGGTCCTGCTAAGCAGTCTCAACACTTTATCACGAAGTGATCGATGTCTAATCCTAGGGGACTTTAATGCACCCATGGTGGACTGGGGAAATCTGCGGACTGAATCGTCAGCAAACTCCTTCGAACAGGAACTAGTTGATGCGGTAATCACATGTGCCCTAGTGCAACACGTGAAGGAAGCAACTAGGTACGACCCGGGCTCTGCATCATCCCTGCTAGATCTTATATTGACTCATTATGAGGATGATGTTGCAAACCTGGATTACATGCCACCCCTAGGAAAAAGTGATCATGCAGTTTTAAGCTTTGACTTCCATATAACTGTCGATCACGAGTACGCTTCAGCTCAATCCAGACCTAACGTCTGGAAAGCAAACATAGCAGACATCATGAAACCAGCATCATTAGTAGATTGGAAATTAGACCCAGAGTCATCAATCGAAACGGCTTGGGACGTATTCCGGAATTTATACTTAAAAGTTACCACCCCCTTCATCCCTTGGACTACACCTAAGAGACCGAGAAACTCCCCACCGTGGTTCAGTAGGGAGGTTCGCATCCTTCTCCCTAAAAGAAGGAAAATGTAGGACAGATTTAGGTTACTGGGGACTGACGAGGCAAAATCTCAGTATCAAAAGGCTCGAAATACCTGTGCCTCGACCCTCCGTAAGGCCAGAAAGCTGTACGAAGAGAAAATCGTTAGGGAATCCATAGAATGCCCTAAACGCTTGTATTCGTATATAAACCAAAGGACAAAAAGAAGAATAAATGTTCCTTCACTATGGGGAGACAGTACTGCCTCATCACTAGTGGAGGACGACTTTGGCAAAGCTCAAGTATTCTCTAAATACTTTAGCGATGTATACACCATAGAAACACCCTTCTCACCAGTGCATGAAAATCCACCCACACAAACACTGGACAGAGTAACCATTGAAGAACTCGATGTCTTTGGTCTGCTAGTTAAGCTTGACATAGGTAAATCCACTGGACCCGATGAACTGCATCCTAGGTTATTAAAGGAATTAGATAACTTTGTTGCGAACCCTTTAAGTGTATGTTTTAATCTATCCGTAACCCAGAGTCGTCTACCAAAAGCCTGGAAGAACGCCATAGTAAGTCCTGTCTTCAAAACAGGTACAAAACATAAGCCTGAAAATTACCAATCCATTAGCCTAACGAGTGTGATTATTAAAATCTTAGAAAAGATTATTCGGAAGGAACTGTTAAAGTATCTCGATGAAAACCGGATCCTCTCCGAAAAGCAGCATGGTTTTAGAACAGGTTACTCTTGTCTCACAAACTTATTAGTCGCTCGTGAAAGCTGGTGCGCTCTTAAGGACCAAAAATTACCTATAGACGTAGCTTACATCGATTTCAGCAAAGCTTTCGACAAAGTTCCGCATAACCGGCTGTTATATAAGCTAAGGAATGTCGGGATTGGAGGCAATCTATTGATGTGGATAAAAGACTTCCTAGTTGGGCGTCAACAAAGAGTAAGGGTGAACTCCAAGTTGTCTAGCTGTGAAATTGTGCTTAGTGGAGTCCCCCAGGGTACAGTTTTGGGGCCAGTATTATTCCTCCTGTACGTAAATGATCTTCCTCGTCTACTTTCGTCATCGGTCTTACTCTATGCTGATGATGTCAAGATATGGAGAGCGATACAAAGCAAGGGCGATAGCTTAGAACTTCAAAATGACCTGGAGAGATTATCTGAATGGTCCCAAACCTGGCAATTGCCGATAAACACTTCCAAGTGTATTGTGATGCATATTGGCCATCAGGGTACAGATACATACACGATGAATAACACTGAGTTACCTATTGTTCAGGCACACAACGACTTAGGCGTCATCGTCAGTCAAGACTTAAAGACTACTGCACACTGCCGTGCAATAGCCGCCAAAGGTTTTAGGACTTTATGGTCCATACGCAGGGCTTTTAGGCATCTTGACGCTAAAACGTTTTTGACTTTGTATACAGTGTTCGTACGCCCTAAACTTGAGTACTGTATACAAGCAGCTAACCCCTGCCTAAAAAAAGACAGGGTTCAGAGAACAGCAACTAGGCTGATTCCCGGAATAGCGAAGCTCCCGTATGGTACTAGACTGACCAAGCTAAACCTATTCCCGCTGTCATATAGAAGAATCGGAGGTGACTT